ATGAATGCAACCACGTAAATAAATAGAGTCTAAGTCTTGGACATGAACGGAATATTTGTTCATGGTAGGTTTGTTTCTAGAAGCAGAGAAAAAGGACTCTTACCAGCTAATAAATTATGGTGGTTGAACCACGACGCGACACATTCTCCGAAGACAATTTTACCCCTCTAGCAAGACACAACAAATTCCACCAGGGTGGTTGGCCCTCCCAGTGATTGTACCATGCGGCTGGTTGTCCATTATTCAATTAGAAATATTAAATGATCTGGGGGACAAGCTAGGTACGAGGCAGTGGCAGTGAGGGGCATGCCACCCCTAAAGTCTTAGAAAGATTCCAGCTTGATCATTAGATTTTTTATTTTTTCATGATGGTGCGTTCCCAAAAATTTCATATTTCCTCTTCCATCTTTGATTCTTCTAAGGATTGTTTGTGAGTGAGTGTGGTTGAGATTATCTTAAAACTAAAAAAAATTAATTTTTTTTAAAAATATTATAATGCCAAACAAAACTTAAATTTACAGGGAGGTTTCTTTCATATCGAAACTAATCCGTCTAAATTCAACTCATTTTGAAATCACCCTACTAGTTTTTTTTTTGTTACACCCCCTTATGAAATTCTAGTTCCTTCCTCATCTATAGTGAGTTAATAGAATGTGTATCCTCCTAATGGTCAAACGCACCTTATGACAATTGCCATCTAGGTTTCTTACCAATTGATAATAAAATGATGACTTGAAGCATGCTTTATGATTTTTAGTTGATTCTGCCTAATTCGTTGCATTCAATTTCGTAGACAACGAGAAATCCTTTGCCGATGATGTAGCAGTTGATGCAGAAGGTAATGCCTATGTTACTGATGCCAAATCCAATAAGATTTGGAAGATTGGGGCGGATGGGAAGCTCGTATCCGCTATCAGATATCCACTCTTCATTGCGAAAGAGTGGTACAAGAACCTGGTTGGGCTAAATGGGATTGTTTACCACCCAGATGGGTTCTTGATTGTCATCCACACCTTTAGTGGCATGTTATATAAGATTGACATAGCCAAGGAAGATCATGAAGTCAAGTTAATTAAAGTAGCTGGAGGTTCACTTGCATTTGGAGATGGTCTAGAGCTCTTGTCTCCAACTAAACTTGTAGTTGCCGGAAATCCCTCGGGGAGATTGGTGGAGAGCTCCGATAGGTGGGAGACGGCGTATGTTGTGGCAAAGTTCAAGGGGCCTGCGCATAGGTTGGCAACAGCAGCAACTGTCAAGAATGGGAGGGTTTATCTTAACCACTTGCTTGGTATGGGATACCCTAAAAAGAAGCATGCTCTTGTCGAGGCTGTTTTTTCTATTTGAGAGGAGGGCAATCTGAGTTGTTGGTTATATGATCCGATTGAAGTTTCATGTCGCAGAACTGGCTCCTTGCTGGTTTTGGATCTGTAATATTGTATCGCTACTGACTCCAGAACATTTCAGTTCACTAGTGAAGCATTCTGTTCTCCACGCCTGGCCTAACTTCCCCGGTAGAATCCTCGGGACAGATCAGGATTGTGTATTTAATATATTTTTTTTTTTGTGTTATTTTAATTATTATTTTTTTGATTTATGTAGGTGTTCGAGCCAGTGTGTACTACGATTAATCTTATGGCCTACTAAATACCTTATAAACTCAATAAATATATAAAGTATCGCAAAGATAATAGATATATATGCGAGGATTTTAACCCAGACACACAATGAAAGGAGAGAAGCACCATTCATCTTTTATGGAGAGAAGCACCATTTACCTTTTATTATTAGGTCAAGACCCTTGATGCTTGCTATTTTAATTACTCCGAGGAGGACTAGGTTTTAAAAGAGATACAGCATTATGATTTTAATACATGGCG